AGAATCAGGAACCCACACAGAATGGGCATTGAGAGAGCGGAAACACCAAGGGGGTCCCACCCCAGACCAGGCATCCGGGCACCCGGGCCTCAGGCTCTCCATCCCCACCCTCCTTGGGGAGCCAGGTCTCCCTCACCTGGAAATGAGTCAAGCCAAACTGAGTAAATGGAACTTTATTTCCATAAATACAGGGGTAACACCCATTCAAGGGTAGCTAAAAGAGGGGCTGGAGCCTCAAAGAAACTGGGCTCCCCAAGGGCACCCCAATACTGAACATAGGGACTGGGGGATCCCCAAACCTGAGATGGGCCTCACGGGCCACAGATATTCCCCAGCACTGACACTTCAAGAACGGAAATGTCCCCATAGGGGAGCCTCAGAACCCCACTCTCATGGGTGGTCCTTCCTGGGGGTTGGGAGGGCTCACAACAGGGGAGTTCAGAGGAACAGGGAACATGGGGAAAACAGAAGCTAAAAATGTCCTGAGTGGCCTGGAAGGAGACCCCTGTGGTGGGCAGGAGCTGTATTCTGTGCCTCCAGCCAGAGTTGAGGAGCAGCCACGAGTAAACCTGGCTCCTCACTTCCCAAGCTTGGCCTTAAGAGGATGGGGGAGCTTGCAGCGAGCCCCAAATGAGAGGACACGAGATGGCAGAAACCAGGATTTGCCTTTCACAGAAGAGCAGAGGAAGGGGCCCTGGGAGCCCTGGTTGGTGGGAGAGTGATGAGGTGGTCATGGGCACACCAGGGCCTGACATCCAAGGCTACCACTTGGTCTCCGGGCTGGGGAGTTCCTGAGGTATCCCTCAGGAGAGCCAAGGTTCAATGCAGGTCTCATAAAGGGTACGGTTGGAGTGCCAGGCCGTGTGGGAGACCCCAGCCATTGGACACCTCACTATGGCCCCCCGAGCCAGGAGAGTCTTCAACCCAAAAGAATCCCGCAGATAAACCTTCAAGGTGGGCAAAGGGGCATGGAAGAAAGACATAGGGAGGACAAAGTAAGTTCCTGCTGGTGTCCCAGACCCCCTCCCCACAGGGTGAACCTTTCAACTCCCGTGTCAGTGGCAGAGAGAGCCACGGACAGCTGGGACTGCGCGCAGAAAGGGAAGGTAATTCCAACGAACTCACCAGTTGCTCCTCCATCTCCAAGACCGTCTCATTTGCATCATAGAAACCAAAGAAGCTACAAAAAGATTGGGGGGTAAGGGGGAGGTTATCAGGAGAGCTGGAGAAAATCAAGGTGGGCTAGGGTCCTTCAGGAACTCATAGCCTGTTGAGGACACAAGCAGCAAGGAGGACACTCAAAATACCAATATTTAACTGGGTATCATGTACCTCATGAGGTGATGCACTGAGGGTACAGCATCACTTCTGCAGAATTCCCATCAAAAATGCATAATCTGAATCTAATCATGAGGAAATAGCCAACAAACCCAAACTGAGGGACATTCTATAAAACAGCTGGCTCATACGCTTCAAAAATATCAACGTAGTGTACAAAGACCAAGGAAGTATTCCAGATTAAAAGGGACTAAAGAGACATGACAACTAAATGCAACACAGGATCCTGGGTTGGATCTTGCACTGGATTTTTTTCTATAAGGACAATTGGGAGAATTTGAATAAGGTCTACAGAGTACTGTATCAATGGTAATTTCCTGATTTTGATCATTATTGTGGGTATGTAAAAGAATGTCCTGTACATAGAAAATAGACACTGACATACTGAAGTTTTCAAGGGTGAAGAGATATCATGCAACCTGCTCTCAAATGGTTCACACACATACTCCGTACATATATATGTGTGTATATATATATATATATATATATGTGTGTGTGTATATATATATATATATATAGAGAGAGAGAGAGAGGGAGGGAGAGAGAGAGGATGCTAAGGTAAACTCGGTAAGATGTTAACATTTGGGAAATCTAGGTGAAGAGTATACAAGATTGCTTTGTACTACTTTGGTAATTTCCTGAGTATGAAATTATTTCAAAATAAAAAGTTCTTAAATTTTTTTTAATTAAGAATATTTAACTGGCATGGGCACTGAGTGGACACAGGCCATAAATAACTGAACAAATGCCAATATGGGCTATGGGAGCAAAGAGGAGAGGCTACTACCCTAGTTTTAGAGCATCAACAAAGGCTTCCCAGCGATTAGCCTGGACTAAGGAAGGCTGTCCCAGGCAAATGCAACAGCAAGAGCTGCACAGAGGTAAGGCACAGCTGGGTGCGGGGGGTGCTGGGTTGGAGGCCTGGAGGCCTTGTTGAAGGGCTGGATTTCACACAGTAGGAAAGCAGTAGGGGCACGAAGACCTGGATTTTAAACTCCAGCTCTGCCCCACACTCCCCACTGTGTGTGGTTGATCATGTTGCTTATCTTCTTTGCCCTGTATAAGAATACCTCCTTTGTAGAGAGGAAGCAAAACATCGTGGCTGGGCTTCCCTGGTGGCGCAGTGGTTGAGAGTCCCCCTGCCGATGCAGGGGACACGGGTTCGTGCCCCGGTCCGGGAAGATCCCACATGCGGCAGAGCGGCTGCGCCCATGAGCCATGGCCACTGAGCCTGCGCAACCGGAGCCTGTGCTCCGCAGCGGGAGAGGCCACAGCAGTGAGAGGCCCGCATACCAGAAAAAAAAAGAAAAGAAAAGAAAAAAACATTGTGGTTAAGTCAGACAGCCTGACTTCACCACTTAACTAACTCTATGAATGTAGGCAGGTTATTTAATCTCTTTGTACTTAAGTTTCCTTATATGTCAAAAGAGGATAATAGTAATTACCCTATAGGGTTGTTGTGAGAATTAAATGAGCTTTATTTGAAAAGTACTTAGAATAATGCTTTGGGACATAAAAGGTGCTATATAACCTTGAGCCATTCTTATCTTCACAGGATTGTTTGAAATGAGGTAAAAAAATAAATCCCACCTCTATTATAAGGCATGTCACTCATTCACTTAAAACCTTCCAACATGTTCTTCTCACTCAGAATTTTCAAAAAGCAAGGGCCATGGTTGCCAGGGGCCAGGGAGTGGCAGGGATGAGGGAGTTACCATTCTTTAAAGGGTATGGGGTTTCAATTTGGGAAGGAAAAAAAGGTTCTGGAGATAAATAGTGGTGATGCTTACACAAGAATGTGAATGGACTTGATACCACCGAACTATACACTTAAGAATGGTAAAATTTTATGTTGTGTATATTTCAGGAAAAAAGGGGGGGGTGCTTACTGTGCCCCACAAAGGCTCTCTGTAACTGGCTCCCTGCTACCTCTTTCACCTCCTCTCCCACCCTCTCCATAGCTCCCTGCACTCTAGCCACATGGGCCTCCTTATTCCTCAGACCTGCCCCAGGGCCTTTGCAGGTGCTACTCCTCTCCCCTGGGTTGTTCTTCCCTCAGTTTGATGCACAACTCTTTCC